ACTTCAGCCAAATCAGCCCATGAAACAAAACACAGAAACTTCTGCAAAAATGAAATGGACGAACACTAAACTAGCTACAATAAACCTAGGAGGAGGAATTACCCATGTATCTGGCAGGCAGAAGATAGTCCATTTAATGACGGAGAACCAGATCGACATTCTAGCTTTGCAGGAAACACGGGTGAACCATTGTTCAATGGAAGAACATGATGGCTACACTTTTTACTTTTCGTCGGGCATCTCTCATGAAGCTAAAGTATCTGCAGAACAAAAAAGAGAACAACACAGGCAATACGCAAATACAGGATTATCCGAAATACAGCTGTACAATTTGGATGCAGAAAAACACGGAGTAGGATTGGTTTACAGCCATAAACTACGACCTTACAAGAAAAACATACAACAAATAAATGGCAGACTTCTACTAGCAACGTTTGATACACAACCGCTCTGTACAAATATCATTGTAGCCTATGCCCCACATGCGCTTCGACCTCAAAGGGAAAAGGACGATTTTTACGACAAACTAAATAGTACGCTAAGCAAGCTGCCCAACCATGAAATGAATGTAGTAATCGGTGACTTCAATGTGAGGCTTATGGAAAAACTACCACACGAAGACATGATCTTAGGTGAACATATCTTCGGTACTCACGAAGACAGAATAGACCTATTAAGTGAACAGCAGAAAGACAACCGCGAGCGTTTTCTCTCAATGTGCCAAGACAACCGGCTAGTGGCTACAAACACATTATTTCAGAAGGACCCCGCCAAACTAGTAACGTACCGGAGTCCTACAACTCTTAGCTTCTCGGAACCTTACACGACGTCGCGCTTCGCCCAGCTGGACTACATATTGATCAATACAAAGTGGAAGAATGCGGTGACCAATGCTGAGTCTAGTTGCTGTCACTCAATTACAACGGACCACAAACTTTTATTTGCTACGTTGCGTGTAAAACTTGCGAAGGCGCGATATGCGCAACCCAAGAATCGCACAAAATATAGACCCCCCACGCAAAATCAGATAGATAGCTACAACACTCAAATTTCGGAGCTGATTGCAAAAAGCGAACTCCAGTGTACAGACGACCCACTAAAGATATGGGCCGACATACTTCATGAAGCGGCTACTAATGCATTCACGTTAATTCCTCCAGAGCAAAGAAAACCATATATTTCAGCAGAGGCTTGGGACCTTCTATGTAAGAAACAACAACACAATCAAGCAGGGAACATACAAAGTGCAAAGGAACTCGAAAAGCAACTGAGGAAGCAAATCCGATGTGACAAAAGAAAGAATATGCTGCAACAGCTGGAAGAGATGGACGAGCAAGGGTATAAATGGAGAGGCATAAAACAAATGAGGAAAAAGTTCTTCCCAAGGCACACAAAATTCAAAGATAAGACAGGCAACCCCATTCCAGAAAGCAGCTTCCCTGCTGCGGCAGCAGAGTACTTAACGAATGTGCAATGGAAAAAGCCGGAAACTGCTCAAGAACCCAAGACTGCTCCTCTTTCTGATGTTGGGGCAACAGTTAACCAATCTGCTTTTGAGCTTGACGAGTTCAATGCTGTGATCAAGCGGTTGAAATGCAACAAGAGTCCCGGGCCGGATGAGGTTAATACTGAGCTGGTAAAATGGTTGAACAACGACAATAGGACAAAGCTACTAATTCATTTCAACGACATACTGCTTCATGGCAATTACCCGGAATCTCTCAATCTGTCCAACATCGCGTCCATTTATAAAAAAGGAGATCCCGCGAAATTGGAAAATTATCGGCCAATAGCTCTTTTACAGACCTTCTACAAAATGTTGGCAGCTCTTGTCAAGAACCGTTTAGAACCTGCACTGGAGCCGTGGATGTCAAAAACCCAGTTTGGCTTCCGAAAGAAAAAATCTACATCGCAAGCCTTATTTATCGCAAGAAGACTTATGGATATGGCAGAAAGGCAAGGTACCAACTTAACGCTTGTACTATTAGACTGGGAAAAGGCTTTTGACAAAGTAGACCAAGACAAACTCATCGAAGTACTAACCCGGTTAAGTATACCGCAACGTATCATCGGCATTGTCCAGAACATTTATGAAAATGCAAAATTTAGAGTTGTAAAAGGCCACATCCGCTCCAACTATCAGACGCAAAATTCAGGAATACGACAGGGATGTCCATTATCACCATACCTTTTTGGAGTTCTAATGACGGCAGTCTTCCAGGACATCAAATCAGTTTTGTGCACACCAAAGCAAAGACAACCTATACCAGGCATTAGCTATGCAGAAGTTCTTTATGCCGACGACACACTATTGTTTGGAACGCACACCCACACGATAAACAAGTTGCTGCGACAAATACAAGAAGAGTCAGCTAGATATAATATGAAACTTAATTTCGAAAAATGTATCAATCTTACTATCAATCGCAAGCAGTCCTCTATCAAATTTATGGATGGGTCGGCCGTTCCGAGAAAAACCCAGGCAAAATATCTTGGAGCAACTCTAACAGACGCCGTTGACAACCACCAAGAAGTTACGCGTAGAATCGGGGAAGCCACAGCCGTCGCCAAACAACTAGGTTTGTTCTGGTCAAAAGCCCGTACAACAATTAAATGGAAACTACGAGTGATGGAATCCATTGTCTTCAACAAGTTGGTATACGGCTTAGAAACTATACAACTTACGCGTCGTGAACAAGACCAAATCGACGCTTTTCAACTAAAAATGTTCCGGCGTGTGCTCAATATACCACCTACCCATATCGACAGAAGCTGGACAAACCAAAGAGTTGTGGACACTCTGTGGCACATGCATAAATTCAATCACGTTAAACTATCAGTTAAATGGAAGCAGAAAAAACTTACCTTATTAGGCCATATCCTGAGGGCACCACATAGTGACCCAATGCGGGAAATACTGTTTCAACCGGGAAAGAACATTCCTAGAAGCGAGCATGTGCGTAGGGTCGGCAAACCGAGAGCAAACTGGCTTCTAGACACATTCGTAGAAGCATATGCATTTTTACATCCTCAAGCACGCTTCGATGAAACCGCCCCTGCGCTTTGGAACGAAATAGCAGACACGGCCATGCGCCGCGAACCCCCTTTTAAAACAAAGGTCAACGAAGCCTGAAGGAGAGCCGGAGAGCCACCTGATAATGCGATATTACGATTAACAAATCAACGAAGATTTCACCGAAGATGTCATCGAATATGTCATCGAATATGTCGTCGCTAAGCCTACGGAATCATTTCAGTGAGAAGGTTTTTGCGATTATCACCGAAAGTGTCACCGAATATGTCATCGAATATGTCGCCGACGAAGTGACATTGTAAAGGATTATAGTCAATGATAATGCAAAACGACCGTTATCTATGATCCCTAAACCCTATCTTACCCTATCCAAATTTTCATGAGCCCCAACTCCAATATCCCTGTACACAAGCGCTTGTGGGACCCTTCAGTCTACTTGCTCGATGCGGCAGTGGTGTAGCCAAAGTTTTCCCATCTTTTGTGCAGATCTCCGCAGATCTCCTCAGCCTCTGATAACAGATGGCTGCAATCCTTTCCCGAAGTTGAGCAACGCTCAGCGCCTTGTGGAGCTGCGTATCAGTGAGTGAGTGAGTAGCCTCTGTTGAAGGCAGGCTGCCCGGCCGCAAGCACAACTTCAAAAGCGTGCTGAGCAGCAGCTTTTCACTTTTTCTGAACGCCGGTGAAGCCGACATTTGCCTTAAGGGTGGGTGCTGGCCCAATTAGCGGGCAAGACTTCAGACCATGGGTGCCTGTGCGCGGGAAGGCCGGACCCCACAACAGGTGGGCATGGCCCGCCCCGCGTCAAGGCCAAGAGTGTCTTGAGCACTCGCAGGCCCTCCACAGGCTTTATAGGCTCAGGCTCATTTCGGATTGGCTTTGCTCCTTCCTTGTTTTGGTTTATGCTGTGGGTTTAAGGGTTCTTTTTTTGCGCTTGCCATTCAGAATCGAGCCGAAGTCGGTTTTAACCCGTGAGTGAGTGCCAAAGCGGTAATCGCCCGCAAAGCGCAGAGCACGCTCGCGCAGCGTTCGATTGACAAAATACTACCGCAACTGTACCTACTCCTTCTACTGCTACTACTACTACTGCTGCTTCTACGACTACGACGACGGCTGCAACAACAACAACTACTGAACCACGACTCCTGCTACTACTACTACTACTACTACTACTGCTACTACTGCTACTGCTACTGCTACTGCTACTACTGCTACTACTGCTACTACTGCTACTACTGCTACTACTGCTACTACTACTACTACTACGACCTACTTGCTACCACTACTCCTGCTGCTGCTGCTGATGCTTTGACTCCTATTGCTACTACTACTGCTACTGCTACTACTGCTACTACTGCTACTACTACTTCGGCGACGACGACTACTATTACGTCTTCTACTACACTACTACTACTACTACTACTACTACTACTACTACTACTACTACTACTAGTAATTGCTCCTTCTACCACCAAGCGACCACGACCACTACTACTACTACTACTACTACTACTACTACTACTACTACTACTACTACTGCTCCTACTACTACTACTACTACTACTACTACTACTACTACTACTACTACTATTGCTACTACGATTACTCCCACCACTACTACCATTGCACCAACTATGGCACTACTACTTCAAGCAAAGCCGTTCCGTAGGCAAGCGTGGCTTGAACTCCCTGTACAGGAGTGGGACAAACTCAAAGCATCCATGAATGCGGAGTTTGACCAGCACTCATACGAACGTAGTGGATACATTCTAGAACCGTCCAAGATCCTGTCGAAGCACAGCGACAAGATCTTGGATCTATCTTTTTTGTGGGTTCATGTTTTGTCCTCGAACCTCGTGCTGCCATCTTTGATACTTCTTGTGGGACTGACGCCTTTCCTCTTAGCCTCTTCAAAGGATACGCGGACCTGTCCATGCCCGGTTTTGCATCTGAGAGCCTTTTTTGAAAGGTGCTGGAGAGCTCGAAGTCGCTCCTCTCTGCCCGTATCGCCTCTTCCTGCCTTGCGTGCGGCACCGCGATCGACGTCCCCGAAGCAAAGGCCAACAGACACGTTTTGACAGCGGCTGCTTCGAACTATACTTCCCGTAGTTGGTTGAAGTCAGATAGCATGCTTCGGATAAAGGTCGACGGAACAGAAACGGAGCAACATGCGGTCTTAGTCTGCGTCTCCTGGCCACATGGAGGCCGAGAAAACATGACATCCTGCATAGCTCAATTGGGACGCATCTGGGCATCGTGGCTGCAAGTGGCATGACATGCAAGGGCCGAGTCAACGAGCATCAACGAGCCACTGATCTGCATAGAAGAGGCCTCCTCCATGTCTTCCAAGAATTCGTCGTATGATGCAGTAAGTCCAGCGATGCAAAACACACAGGACTTAGCAAGGCTTTGGCCTGCGGGAATGCATCTGCAATCCATGTTGACCACAAAGATCTTGGGCCCCATCGAGGTTTGTTTCGCGTTGGACAGTGTAGGAACAGAGCTTTGTCGACGAAAGCCGATCTGCCCAGATGCTGATGCCTCTACAGTTCGTCTGCTGGCGAGGTATTTACGCCTCCCGGCTCGTGCGGCTCGCTCACTGCAGCACCCCGCGTATGTGTTGTCGACCCTGCAGGAGCTGCACTCAGTGTTTGGGCCAAGAAGAAAGCCCAGCATGCCCCCCCAGACTCCAGGACCGGCGGGTGTTGACGGCCGGGCTGCAGAGGTGGTCGTGACAGGCCATTGGGTTCATGTCCCACTGCCTCATTCCAAGTCATTGCTTGGGGGCACTAAAGGCTTCAGCAATAGCTGAACGGCGCCGCCTCAGCAGCCTCTTCTTCGCCATCGTGATCTTTATCATCCGCATCATCAGCATCACGACCACGACCACGACCACCATCATGATGATGATGATGATCATCATCGTCACCATCTGCACCACATGCTATTTTTCGGGACCTCTTGCTTCCGTAGCCGCCGCGTTCCAGGTGGAAAGGTGGCTCTCCCACCAAACACTTTGGTCCAGTTGGTGCTGCCTTCGACCTACTTCCGTGGCCTGGCTACAGGAAAGCCAGGTTGCCACGTGGGCAACGGACAAACAGCGGATAGGATGTGATTTTGAAGAAGACCTGGAATGAAGCTCTCAAACAGTTTAGACGAGTGGAGAGAGTCGAAACAGTCCAGACCTTCAAGCAAGTCGAGCCGGATGATCTCTTCGGAAGCTTGCTGACCATAGTGGATTTCATGCAAATCGATCTTGCGGGAAGGTGGAGGAAGCAAATCCGGACTGCAGGAGGGGGTCAGCAGAATGGGTTTGGGCAGAGTTTTATTTGTAGTATTACTGCCCACTGCCCACCAGGTCCTGGCGATGTGAAGTCGCCATTGCCGCGCTGCTGCTTGTCTGAATGTACTCCTGGCTAAGAGACCTGTGTTGGCAAGCTTAAGCTGTGTTACACTCACTTCGGTGACAGTCTAATGGTGACCGGTAGCTGTTTGTCTGAGGTTCGGATCTTTCTGCTGCCGAGGCTGAAAGGTGTCGATTGACACTTGGACACTGTGTCGGTGCTTGGTGTCTAGTCATTCGCGCGAACACCTGTACTTGGGCTTGCGTTGCAATCATATCATCATATCAGGTTGAGTTGTGGCTCCGGGGCCAGATCACGCGGACTTACGGGGATTCCTTGTGCAGGCCTCCGGCACCGAAAATCAATCAGTACAGTGTCGACCACGACCACACTGCCGTTAAGATCTACGCTGGCGGTTGCCACAGCGCCGCTAACCCAGCCGCACATCCGAGGCTACCATATCTCCTCTCGCTCCGTCGGCCTACCTGATCTGAATTGGCTCGACTCTGCGCGTGATTGCGCGTGTAGCAAACAAGGATGCCGCCAAAGCCCGGGTCTGTGAAGACGCAAGTCGGAGGCTTTGAGCGATGAAGGAAGACAGATGTGGCAAACGCATCCGGTTTGCGGACTTCAAGACAGGAGCATGGTGTGCAGGCAGTCCCTGCAAAACAATATGTTGCATCTTTGGTTGAAGTAAGTGTAAGCCGTTTAAGCTATCGGCGGCCTACTTGATCGTGCATCACAGCAACAGCAAGGGAAGCTTCGCACTGCAACTTGAACTGATCTGTTGAGGGAAGTCGTGGGGGCTCCGTTCCACGACTGTGTCTGAACGCATGAAGGCCTCGCAAGCCGAAGCTGTGCTGCCTGCCCTTGACCACCGCTGCCTGAACATGGATGTGAAGATCCAGTGACTCCAGTGTTCGTCCGAAACTTCGGTGCCTGGTGTCCGCACCAGCGTGCCTCGAGAGGTCCGTTGTAAGGCTTGCCCCTGGCTCCTCGCAGGGATGGATTGAGTTAGAAGTTTTGTGTTAATAAGTGGGGCCAGGATGGTTGCCGAAGCCTTACTTGGCCAAGAGAGTCAACTGCTGGCGAGAGGTTCCAAGAGCCTTCGCCCAGCGAGACCCATGCAGTAGATCATGGAACCCCCAAGTCCAGGCTTCAAGATTCGACTGCCCGATTTTCAGCATGCTGCCGGAGGTGCCAGGTGCCACCGTGAGCTGAGCAGCACCGAAGAGCTGCACGGCAGAAGGGGGAGCAAAGGCCGCCGTCTGATCGTAAGGATGTTGGATCATCCTGGCCGACGGAGGAACGCAGAGCTGAGAGTGGCCGGCAGCCGCCGAAAACTGTGCGACGCTGTGGTCCTTCAAGGCGACATCCAAAGCTTTCTCATGCTTTCTCGCAAGACATCCATGATCCAACCCAGTGGCCAAGGCCCAGCTGCAGCTGGCTGCAGTGACCACTGACAAGGCAAAGTGGGCGTATTCTCTGATTCCAAGACCAACTACAGAGGGTCGTTTGTGCTGGGCTTGTTTCCGGGTCTTGAAGACCCGCTCTGCATAACAATGTCTGGTGCAGATCAATCCCGAAGAAGCAGGTCCCAATCCTACCAAGGATCCTACAGAACTTCATAATATGAGGCTCTCCAGATAAGTTGTCCCATGCGGTCCCACGCACATCCGGCAACCTGAAAGCACGCAGTCCGGCTGCAACAAGCCACAAACTCCAAAGGGGTCTCGGAGCTACAGCAGCCAAAGCAAAAATCAATTTCAATATTTGGGCTCACGAAGTTTCCTGGAAGCCATTTGGGATTGATTTCGCACCGAAAAGATTACTAGTTTCGGCTTATTCTCATCCACGATGTTCAACCAAGAAATCCTTTCTCGTACCGTACCTGTGAGTGTCGGCCGCCAACTTCGCCAACCCAAGGCGGCACTCGTCACAGCACCCATACATGTCGCTGTGTCTTTGCAGGGTATGCGCGGAGCTGCAGAGGCACGTTACAGTATCGGGACATCTTTGGTATGGGGGGGGCAGGTCATGGGTAAGGTCAAGGCACGGCGTATTTCGATTTGCCTCGAGTTTGGCTACGGCTAGTCGCTGTTCCAACTCCGAGTCCGCGAGCGGGTTGCCGATGTTTGCGGTGTCGCGTCTGGTGCCGGAAGCGAATGCTTGCCAGGTTCGCCTCATCTGGCACATTTTTTCGAAGACGTCACGAACTCAGCCTTCGTAAGGCTTTCTAGCAGGTGTAGGTTTCGATCTTCCCGTGAAGCTGTGGACTTTGCTAGCTACTGCATCCGATGAGCAAGAAGAGCATCAACTCCGACAGCATAATATCGTCGCTGTTCAGACGTCAGATCACTCACAGCTTGACGTTCACGCTTAAACTTAAACCAACCGAACCACCCACAAGCTCCGCGCCCTCCAAGATCCCTTGCCAAGACGGGCCCACTTAACGTGATCAAAACCCGTGCAACAACCCTAGAACCCCGATTTCCTCCTTTGACTACTTCGTAGGACTTTAATGTTGGTTTAACGATCTTTGTCTAGATTTTGGTGGGGGGGTGATCCGATGGCTGCTGCGCATCGAAGTCCCTGAAGATTGAAGTGGTTCCCTTATGCAGGGAGCATTGTAGACCTGTCTTTTTTGCATGTTTCATTCCAGCTTTGCGGTTGCAGATTATGAAGGGTCTTCCCCTCGTTCCCAGAGAGGGTCAAAAGTCCGGGCGGACCATCAGCTCGAGATCCTCGCTCTTCCCAAGAGATTTGAAGCCTGAGGAAAGTTGCTATTCGATCCTGGGGGAAGTATGTTCCGTGGCCTGTCGTGCTGCTTGACCTGCTTTGGGCTGCTTCTGTGGCTTTTTCAGGAAGTTTCAATCAGAGGTGGGTCTGTCAATTGCGGGTGCGAGGCAAGTCGTGGATGCGGCTGCAGGAATTCGTGTCTACAGGGCAAGATTCGTTGCGGAGGTCTAGTCCGTTGCACGGTTGATTTTGAGCATGGTTCCGTTCAGAGATGGGCGTTGCATCTGGCAGGACCCTCCGGGCATGGGCGATCATGGGCGCGCGAGAGAGAGAGGGAGCACCCACCTCCTTGCCGATTTTCCAGAAAGTGTGGAGGGTGGAGCGGGGCTGATGGCCAGGGGACCTTATCAAGGAGTCCCGCTATGCCCAGAAGAAAAAGAGAGAGTGACCTGCTTCCTTCCTCATGCCTCTTAGCGTCGTAGAGAAGAGAGAGAGAGAGAGAGAGAGAGAGAGAGAGAAGCGGAGCGAAGCGAAGAGAGAGAGAGAGAGAGAGTTTGTGGGCATGATGCCCGGAGGCTTTGACAGGCCTCCATGCCCAGGAGAGAGAGAGAGAGAGAGAGAGAGAGAGAGAGAGAGGGAGAGAGAGAGAGAGAGAGACAGTTAATGGTTTGTTCAGCTGAGCTGCCCCTCCAAACTGCAGGTTGAGCCCAAGCCCACGTAGCCAGAACTGAGTCGTGTTGTGCAACTGCTTACGGGGCGATTGTGAGTGGGGCGGAAGAGCTGGGGCGACCTGCACGGCAGACAAGCAATTCGGAGACTTGTATACAGAGCACTCACACAGTGATGGCAATGCTGTCTGCCGGTACTTGTAGTCTGTTGCATGTAATACCATGCACACCGCCAACAGCGGGCAGCCCCTGGGTGGGGGGCTCGCCCCCTCAAGCCTGGTGAAAGAAAGAGAGAGCGAGAGAGAGAGAGAGAGAGAGAGAGAGGGCAGATGGTAATAATACTCATGTCAGTCATGGTTGCTTGTGTTGTTCGGTTCAGCATGGCCACACTGCGTGTACACTTCATGCTGTCTTTCTGCTTGTTGTACGGGGGCCCCAAACCGAGCCAACTGAGCTCAACGACCGTGAACAAACACGGACACTAGCACCGAGACCAACAAGCTGACTAAGGTGACTTACGGGGACCACTGTAAGAGCCTGGTGTATAGGCCTGGTATGAGTTTTGTGTGGAGTGTCGCCCAACAGCTTGAAGGTCCCACAAAGTCTCACACCGAACAAAGACAACAGGCGTTGCGCTCGCGCGCGGGGGTTTAGGGGGCCAACCCCTGACCCCAAACGCCCTGCAAGCAAGCAAGCAAGAGGGCAAGGTCTGGAAGACTAGTGACTGGTTCCAATTCTGCAGAAGCTGAACACTCAAGCTAAATGATCTTGACGATTCTGATGAAACTTGAAGTTCCCACCTTATCAGAGTGATCGAGGATACGTGGGAGCTGAGGCAAAATCTTCTTGTCGCCGGAGAGGAGGTTCGGCCCAAGATTGAAGAGCGAGAGGCCTCTTGGCCGTGGTGAGTGTTGCGGCTGTGACTGTGTCTGAAGTAGGAGTTGTTTGTTCTCCTGGTCTTTGTCTTGCTGGTCTCCCAGTACTTGATCGTGTGGTCGTCCTGTTACATAAGGTTAAGTTAAGTGAGTCAAGTGGTCAGCAGTTTATAGTATAGGGTGTTGCTTTGGTTCTTGCTTTAGCTTTGTTGTTTTTTGGCTGCTTGTTCTGGGCTTCATTGGTTTGCTGCGGCTGCAGCAAAGACTTAAACACGACGATTCGAAGATAAAGAAGCAAGGATCGCAAGATGCGAATTCGACCTGGGGAGAAGTGAGGAAGCCGTTACTTTTTGGAATTTCGCGAGCCGTGACAGCAATACAAAGTACCGGGCATCTCAGTTTCGTGACCGAATTTCCCAGCGCAGTCATTCATCACGAACACGGCTTCACTTCCATCGGTGCCCCGGGGTTTAGCAGAGGTTTCAGGGTTTCGAAGCAGTGCTCGTTGACCCGGAAAAATTTCAAGGGAATGGGTTGGTCATTGGCGTGGTGCTAACGGCAAAAACAGCTCTGAACGTCACCTAACGGGCAATGCAACCGATGATCGGATTCCGAGTGAGGTGACCCTCTTCTTCTCAGATATGGCCTCATTCACAAGCATCTCGGCAAAAGCCATGGCTGCTAGAGACGCCATCCTACATACCGGATGATGGTTGCGCTTGGGCCTGCTTGGCATCGTCAGCATCGCACAGGGACCGAGATGCTGTCAGCTTCATATCTGGAGTCTGTACATCAAGGGTTGCAAATATGGTGATTGCGTGCGTGTATGTTTGTCTGTTTGTTTTCTTTAAGTTGTGTTTGTGCACTAGTAACCCGGTGCCAAGGGACATCAGTTCGTTTGCATGTTTCGTCGCCTTCTTTATAGAGCAGGGGTGCGATGCTCTTCTGTTGTTTCAAAGATCTCCACCTGCGGAGATTACGACTTGAGCTCAGGAGTGTGGCAGGGGCAGAACTGTACAAGTGTGCGACAGTTGTTCGTTCAACGTTCCGTCTACAGTAGGAGTGCCTGCTGCTTCCGACCCCGATCAGTTTACTTACTTTTGGCCCTGATCGGTCCTTCGCTGCTCTGTGGATGTCGGCCCCTAACGAAAACAGAAACAAGATTCGGTGTTGATCGGGCTACACACGAGCTGACGCAGGTTAGTAACCAGGTTGGTATGGCTCGATATTCCCCCGATCGAACCCTGGTATCGTTTCAGCCGCGATTACTTGGCTTGGCATGCCCAGCTGGCTTGCGAGTGTCGGACTCGCGGTAGCTGCTGCTGGGGCTGCGGCTGCCTTGTCAGACCTGCGAACTGCCAGTGCTTCATTGCGAATGCGTGTTTGGCAACCCCTTTGTGGCTGTTGTGTGTGTACAACCCCCCTAGCAAGGGGCATCAGTGATACTTGTTAGCAGCTCCACCTTTGAAACGAATGTGTCAGAGGGAGGAGTGAACGAGTGTGTGTTTGCACGTGTGCGAGTGCATGTGTGCGTGTGCACTGCGTGCACGTGCGGGTGTGTTTGTTTGTTTGTGTGTGTGTGTGTGTTTGTTTGTGTGTTTGTGTGTGTGTGTGTGTGTGTGTTTGTCTATTGCGAGCCTCTGGGGGGAGGGGGGTTGAAGTGGGCAATTAGCCCACCGCGTAATTAGGAATGTGGAGGTTTGCGGGCATGGAGCTCCAGAGTGACTGTGCTACCAAGACACATGCTAGACTGCACAGCAAAGAGATATCATCAGGCAGCAGTCTTGCGATCCCTGCGCAGACTTCACGACGGAAATTTGGATTAGCGACTTGCATGTGGGGCCTTCTCGGTAGCCTTCACGCTACTACGGCTCAGGTATAGTCGAGAAGCTGGAGCCAGAGCAGACACTGCTTTTGCTCAGCCGATACTTCAACGACATGTCCGATGTGCGACTTGCTCGCAGACTGTTGTTGGTTCATATCTGAACGCATGCTTGGCACGTTATGGATGTATGAAGCTAAGCAACGGCTTTCCGAGCAAATGCTCCAGCCTCCATCCCGCATGCCCCCGAACCTTGTCGAAGTTTCTTACCGACGGACGCATTGGCATGCCGCAGCTCGGTGGGGGGAAAAGGGAGGTCTCGAGTTGGCCCGGGCAAGAACTACTTGTGCCACGATCACCTCTACGAGCTTAGTTGCTGTCCTTCCTTCCCCGAAGGCTGCTTTGCTGTGATTGTCTATGACTCTGCGGGCGGTCGAAGCTGCAGCAGATCCCCATATGCCTTTGACACTGACCTGGTGAGGATTGATAAGTTCGGCGGCATTGTCATCGAGTTCATCGGTGATGCTATCTATGCGGTCTTCGGTGCACCAGTGCGAAACCGGGAGCATGCAGAGGTACCACCTTCTCGTTCCCGTTCCTGCAGAATTTATGTACACCAAAGCAGACCACTTCTTTCAGGTCTCGCAGCTATTGGCAGTGTGGCTTTAATCCTGTGTAACTCGTGCCACTACAGTGCATGAGAGCAGCAGCTGTTCCGGCGATGAGCTGAGCTTTCGGTAGCGGGTCAGGTATAGCACACCTTGAAGTCCCGCAGGCAGGTGTAAACGCCATGCTGAAGATGCTCAAGACCGTGCAGCGCATCAACCAGTGGGCAAAGCACCGACTTCTTCCAGAGGCTAGCATGTTGGGAAACCGTCTCTTCGAAGGTCTGAGGCCGTGTTCTGTGAGAGGGGCCGCTGCGCCTTTCAGGGAGGATTGCAAAGCTGGAATATCGGATTATCGGTTTCCCCTAAGAAGCGGCGGGCATCCGCACAGACGGGGTTGGTTCCGACGAAACTCGACCGCCTCTCCAGGTCAGCATCCGCTGTGGCGTGCATTCTGGCCCTGTGCAAGTCGGAAATATGGGCTTTCACTCGCGGCTCAAGTACGGAGTCATGGGTGCCTCGGACGTGCGCTAGTTTTCTCTCGGCGCCCAGACTTTGGAATTCTGACCTTTGGCTTGGGCTGTCACCACCCCTTGAGAGTTTGGGTAGGCAGCAGGAAGCTGAAATTTCGCCTTGGGAGTGTTTCCTGTGCATTCGACAACACTGCTCCATGATCGCCGTGGCGCCGCTTCAGGTTCCGGTGCAGAGATTCCCTCGAAGTTGGAGGAGCCTCGACGTCCAGGGCCTCCAGCCTCCAGCGTCTGTCCGATTCACTGGTTTCTGGCACCATGCGGCTGTTTTCGATGCGTGTGGTAGCTACTGTGTACTACTGTACTCCACAAGCTGATGCCAGGAGATGAACAAGACCTACGGCACCCAAAATCTCATCTCTGAGTCGACCTTCCACAAGCTTCCTCCGGATGGGTCTCCCACCTGCAACTCGTGTTATGGTCGCCTTGGGCTCGCCACTAGTCAGTCTTGGGGGCGAGCCTCTGCCGCTTTGACGTGTCGAAGACGGCTGCGAGGTATGTGATGAGACCTATAGACTTTGTGGACATGTCGCGCCTTGGCACGGTTAACGAAGTTTTATAAACGAGGACGAGAACTGTCTGCAGAGCTTGGCTTTCACCCTCATGACGACATATCACGACTGCATCTGTTGCACGATCTTTTACCCGAACACATGTGAGATATTCCAAGAAGTGCGCGGACACTCGAGTCAAAGTCAGCCAGTAAAACCCCGCCCCCCTAGAGCGAGTGTCACAAAAGCGTTTGAAGATGAAAGCCTCACGAAAGCCAGTTCTTGCGAAAACCTATGCCACGCAACCTGACGCCATGCAACCTCACGACATCTTAGGGGACAAAGCTGACATCAACAGCATCACCACATCAGGCCATCCAAGCAACGTCACCACATCACGCCATCCAAGCCACCTCCGTGAAGAAATACCTTATCCACGAGTTCGCGCTTTAGATGCAAAAGGGGCTGGTGAAGTTTGCGGCTGTTGTCAAGAGGAGAATTGAGAATGCTCGGGCTTCTTCTGCGATGTCAGCTCGCCTAGGTGCCAAGTCCTAAGTTACCTCAGCTCCCGCAGCTAATGCTGCTTACACCCGAAGTGCCAGCAGGCACGGCTCAGCTGATCCAGAGCCAGTGTACGAGGCGCAAGTTCGTGCAAGTGTTGGATGCGGTCTGGCAAGTTTGGGTTTCCTATCCCGGAATGCTCTTCCAGACCTGAATTCGCCAATCCACCGCTCTGCCGAAACCAAGCTTGTTCATGTTCTCCGAAGAAGGGAACGAGATAAGACGACGAGAGGCCGAGACAGGGAGGCTCTATCAGCAGGCTCCAATGTAGAATCTGATGAAAGTACCTGCTTTCCAGATGCTCGGGCTGTGCTTGGTGCTGTCAAATCTGTCGAAAGAGAAGACTACCTCACAGATGACAAGCACAATGGACATTCGATACTGCCACGTGGGGGTACAGGCAATTGGCCGTTTGCAAGGGTTCAAGGCCAAGAAAAGGACAGACGAGACACCGACTTTGACGAAACCCATTAAACTCTAAACGCATTAAGGAAAGTGCAGAGATGCAAGATATTTTGCACAGACGTACGTTGAGTACAGGCCACCAATGCTCGGAAACCTTGGTCGATTTGCATTCTGCAAACGTTTCTCTGGAAGACTTGAGACAGAGGACTTGTTGTTGAGTTTGCCGTTCCGCTTGTACGGGGGCTCGGTGTGTGGGAATGTCAACTCGTGCTACACACTGCTAGTGAAGAGCACGTCATGAGTCATGAGGGTTTGTGTGTTTCCCGAGCCACGTCGTTCATCTGCCGTCTTTCCGACCGTTGGGTAGCCTCCAAGCCAGCAGCTGACAAGGGGCAAGCAAACAGGAACGCTAAGGTCCCTCCTGCATACACACGCTTGACATGAACCCAGTCGCAGATTCGGCAAAAAGTTCCGTGCAAACGTCATGTCAGGTCATGAGCCAAATCGCGAACAGCAGCTCCCCAAGTGCCAGGCCTAGCTGCAGTCGTTGGGTCTTTGTTGGATGTGTTATGATGTGTTCCTCTTCCACACAGAACACAATGCACGCACGTACATGCGAAATAAACCAGCGTAACCTGAGTTCACACACGGGCAGTTTATTTAGGTGCATTCCGAGGGGCCCGGGCTGACTGGGACACATTAGACTGGTTGGCAGATGCGGAAGCACGATTTTGGGCAATCCATTGGAAGCCTCACTGCCGACTGTCCTACTGCGAGAACCCCAATGCCCGCCGGTGTGGAGCAGCAATGTTGATACTGGTACGGTCTGGAGCTGAAATGCCCGGCTCGATCAGGCTTTTTGATTCTTGTAGCTGCTGCCATTTCTAGGCTGCAAAGACATGCAACCACTTACATGTTGAAGTGCAGAAGCGAAGTCCCGATGCCGGGCATCCGGCAGGTCGTCGAGGCGTGACACACTGGCACGAAAGTATGAGAACCGCTGCTGCAACGAGATCTGCAGCAAAGCTTTTGGAGATTAAAATCAGGACGCACATCGGCTGTCAGTGGTAGCCAGCAAAAGCACGAAAAGCCGAGCCTACTTGGAGCTTCGGCTGCCAAGGACTGCCCTAGACATGTACACGGAGAAGAGGTTCGCCAAGGCTGCAGCGCAGTTCAGAGAGGCAGGCTTTGCCACATGGGGAAATAAGTCGCCAAGCCACAGGAACATTAGGATCGGGCCTTTGAAGTGGAGGGTGGAAGGGGTGCAAGGAAGCTTGCTCACCTGAAACAAGCAATATAGTCTCATGCGGGAGGTCCACGATCTGAGGCTAAGGTGACGAGCGGGACGTGTGTAGGTGTGGGTTCTGGGCCGGAGAATGCACATCTTGTGCAATGTATGGCTGTGCTTAGCTGAGGGCCTGCCTGCAAACAACAGCCAGCTGGAGATGATTACAGGGTTCCTATTTATTGACTGCATCAATCAGCCCATGGATCATGGCTCTGGATTGCTCGGGCGCCAAAGTTCTGCTGCAAGGTTAGCACGAGCATGGGCCAGACATTTGGGATCTACGACAAGCCGTCCGTTCTCATGAGAAAGCGGGCCGCCTACTACATGTGAGTGCCTCAGGTCTCCGGCCGAACCTGTTCTGCAATCTTTCTGTTGCTCACAGAGCGAACAGTCAACCCATCTTTGCTGCGTGTAGCTTCGCCGTTGACTTGACCCGAGCTGCACGGGCTAATTGACGATGCAAACCCCTGGCTTTCAGGCAGCATCCTCCACCGGAGGGCTGGAAGGGAGTTTGGACGCGGACCCGGGAACCTGATGAGACCGTGCCTGTCCTTGAGTTTAATCTCGTTTGCAGTGAAAGGCAGTTGCTTTTTGGGTTCCTAGTTGCCTTCCATCTATGACGATTCAACATTCAGCAGCTCTTCGTGGAATGAAGTTAGTGTGAGTCAGAAGTGAACGTCTGCCAGCGAGGGCCTAGTGTGTACTGGTGCAACCCAACAATGGCAACAGTAGTCTCTTTCACGTTTGATTCACCTGGTCAAGACTGCCTCGAATTCCCAAAGCCTCAGCCTCTCAGGATGGAGTCGAGGATGAGGTCGTCTATGTCTGCGTTTGATGCAGGTGATCGGCATTCAGAGGGCGTCATGGTCATGGCAGGCGCAACATACTGAAACACTTTGGTACCCTCGAAATGCCAGTGCCTAATCAAAGGGGACCATGCGGGTCCTTGTGCGACGACGTTTTTTTCGGAGTGAGTAACATTCATACGGTGCCGTTTTCGGACCCGCATACGGTGCTCTCCTTTGCAGGACAAGTTCTCAGAGAAGGAAGTTTTTGCTCCAAAGGAGCGATTTCCGCGCCACCATGTGTCTTCATGCCCTCGCCTTTGCCTCTCCCCCGACATCTTACCATTGAAAGATTCGCCCGGTTATCGAGGCTTGCTGGCAAGGGGAGTAGTACGAGCGCAGTGATCCGACACGACATACGCGCTCTACGATTGTCATTCTTCCCGTTTGGCCTGCGGCTGGGTTCTGACTACTATTTCAGTAGGGTTTTCTGGTTTTGCAAAGATGCTCTGAAGACACAGTGGCAATATCTCAAAGCTGGCTCAAAGCCCGTGGGTGCCCTGACCGGCAGGTCAGCACGCTAAGCCACGACCCAGAGAACGGTGGGATTGTAAGGTTAAGGGTTAAGGGTGAGCAGGTTGGTGGCTTCATCGTCACCGGAATATTATATAGGTATATACACACACACATATATATATATATATATACATATGTATGTATATTATATATATATACACACACACAAAGTGAGTGAGTGAGTCAGTGCAGATTTTGTTGCTTCGGTCGCAACCTTGTAGGATTTCAGGTTTGTTTCGCTCACATCCTGAATTTACTACCGTTCTCGGGATAGTGCTCGCCTTCTATCTGTGTGACACGTTACCCAGTAACGCTAAGCTATGTAAGTCGTCCCACTTGCCATGCTTTGAGCCTCCATCTCCACGTGTCTTCACAAGTGAGACACCCGATGGACAGCAGATGCCATCTCAGCAGAGTCCGGTTCCACAGACCGCTGTGGCTTAGTAGCAGACGGGGTAGCTAAGCCTCATGCACCAGCCATACCAGCCAAGGCAGGTGAGATCCCCAAGCCCTTTTCGCTTGCCTGGACTTGTCACTTGTCTGGAGTGTAAGTGTCCAAAAAGATTGATAAATGTTTCAGTCTCAGCAAAGAAGCAGAGAGAGCGAGAGAGAGAGAGAGAGAGAGAGAGAGCTCACACCGAACCCGCCAGTTTGTAGTCCGCCGAGTTCCGAGCTTAAAGCTTGAGAGTTTGACAGTTTGCAGGTATGCCATATACATATACACACCGAACCTTGAGAGTGGTGCGCCTGCGGGCGCGAGGGGCGTGCGAGCGCTCCTTTGTCCGACTGCAAGCAAGAAAGAAAGAAACCCTTACGCCCAGCAGAAAGACAAAGAAGAGAGAGCGAGCGAGAGAGAGAGAGAGAGAGAGTTTGTCAGTCGCTGACGTCGCACGCGGGAGAGTCACAGAATGAGTTTTTTTCCAGGCCCTTTTAGAGGTTGACATTGCGGCCAAAAGTCGCAGACTGCGTGCCTACCGATAAGAACGGATCTGCGCCCGCATGACAGATGCGAGATGGCAAGTTGCAAATTGGAGGATGTCTCTCAATTCGCTCGGTCGGTCTTCACTAAGCCGCGAGAAACAGTGGAAAGATTCGCTTATACGTTTTGCTGAGGGAATCTGTTAAGGTGCATCGGGTGATTCAAACTGTCGGATAATGAAGGTGTTGGGCTTTCTGCCTGCTTCGGGGTGGCCGTATGGATGAATCCGGTAGTATTCACTTCCTTTCGACAGGATGTCCTTATTGCTTTGGAGAATCCTAGGCCCCACACTACCAGAGTATGTACGGCCCTTGCAAGGGGTCTTCTAGGGTAAGGCGGTCACTTAGCTAATGCCGGTCGGAAAAAATGGTGAAGAAGAACCAAGAGCGTGTTTCACCTGGCCACAAAGACGAGACCCGTTTCTGGCATGTGGTTCGAGCTCCTTGCTAAAGCGGCCATGCCAAAACACAATGTTGTTTGTTGTCGGTGCAAGTCAGACAACCTGCAACAGGCAGGGTAGAGACCAATTGGCAGAACACATACCATCTCGTCTTGCAGGGCCGGTTTGACAAGACGCAACCCGCGAAGGATGCTATCATGGAGATCGCGGACCATAGCAGACACTTGGGTATTCCCGGCACATGCGATCAACATTTACCCTCCGCCATGCAACAGCACATCATGCCAGAGACAATTTCAGATGACTCATGCCCGAGGGCAGCGAGCAAAGGAAAACGACTGTCCGTATGCACTCGAATGCTGTGCTCGTTAGTCTTTTCCTATGGAATGCAGCAATGCTTAGCGGCTTAGCATCTCTGCTTCGTGGTGCTCCCCTTGCCCTGCCCAAGCTCCAGCTGGGCACAGTTGCTGCATCATTTCCAGCTTCTTGAATGCTGTTTCCGATCAACCTGCCTGTGCATTCTTCCTGGACTTGGCGAGCTTCAAGAATAATAGCGTTTGTGGTGCAAGTGTTACCTTCGGATGTTTTGCCAAGGCGAGTCTTAGTGTCTTAGTGCTGTTGATCTCAAGCCGTGTCATTCCTCGATGGTACATTGAAGCCTCGTCTGCTAGGCTTTTCTTGCAGTCATTGGTGTTATGATCTCGGTTTGATGTTGCTTCTGTCTTGCTTCCTATCGTTGATCTTGACCACTTCAGTACGTTGAACATTAATAAATATGAGTGTTAAGATGTTCCTTGTCATGGTGGCTGCTTTTACCGATGATGCCTCGCTACATAAACCTGCGGGAGTCGCACCAGTAGTACTTGCGTCCTGCATTTAGTGCGAGGGTTGTCGTTGTGGCGATTGCCGCGCGACAACTTGTACGTTTGGGCTGTGACGGTTAGTCAAGCTCAAGAATCACAAGAAATGGCTGCAATCATAAATCGGTGATGCGCCTGTTGCCGTTTGGGGTGCGTGTCTACGAGCACTGCCATGTCATCTGTCGTTTCCAATAGCCCTCAACTCCAAAGCCGAAGCTACAGGAAACGTAACCTCTGAACCGTCAGCAACAAGAAAGTCAAACCCTGAGCCACCCTGAGCCTCAGCACCCTTTCAGATCCTGCAATCCCGCGGAGTTTCCAGGCCTGCCGTCTTAGGCCGCGAACACTGCAGGTGGGGAGTGCTTTTTTGCGATTGGGCTATGGGTACTATATGAGGTGTATATAGGGTTTCAGGAACAATAACCGTTCAACCCACTACACAGATGTTGGCTTCTTTTGGGGGAAGCAGACATGGTCCGCAGTCTGACACCGAAGGATCTGCAAGTTTGGGCTCTCGTGCAAGGCCCGGGGAATGTTCAACGTCAAGTTTGCGCATCCGGGGCGAGCGTGCAAAGGGAGGTCTTGGCCAGGGCGATTTTGCTTGCAAGAACTTACGTGATGGAGTGTCAGGAACTAGGGTATTTAGGGTCTGGACTTCCACAGTGCGCCTTCGGAAGTGACAATTTTGTGTAAAGGTATCCTTATTTGCGGGGCTTTGGCAGGATTCGGGGTTCGGCATCCGCTCGCCGGGCCGTCATCAACGCCATGGCGCCTGCAAGTCGCCACCGCGCCTCCGTGCGGAGGCCCGCGGCTCAGCGGGTCAGCAGGTCGTTTCGAGGCTGTTAAGCGTGTCAGGCACACTTTGGCTTTGCATGTCGCGAATGAAGGCTCGGGGTTGGAAGGGCGATGTTAGACAGTCAGACAGGCTTGCTCCAAGACCGCCCGCAATCTTTGCAGTCTGAAACTGCTGGCTAGCCGTCTTCAGATTCAATGAGAGCTTCCTTCGCCTGCCCCCTGGCACTTCCTGGTGGAGGCTTCTGACGCTTGGTGCCGTTGCGGCAGCGGTGGCATCCGGACTCGGCGTCACTTTCGTGGCCAAAGTCCCTTGAAGAAGATACTACAGGAGTCTTTTGCCAGTGGTTGGTTGTAGCTGAGGGGTCACCTCGGGTTCTAGCATTTCGGCTTGTAGCTCAAGTTTTGGTGCTTGAGCTTCCCAAACCGCCAGCCAACAAGCTCTAATCCACAGGCCTTTGAGCCCGACAGACCTTAAACTTCCCGGAAAGTGAGTGAGTGCCGACCTGGGGTGCTCTCCGGCCCACGGAAACGGTCCCTCTGGCCTTCTTCGCCCCTCACCTCCATGGGCCCGCCCCCGATCCCGGCGGGTTGGGTTGGAATTGGTCACTTGGCAAGACAGCCCACATCGCAGGAACAAAGCCCTTCCCTCGATGATCCCTCACCGAAGTACTAAGCTGTTGACACTGGCTCAGAGAGGCGGGGCATTGGGGGAGGGGTGGTCGAACAAACACGCACACACCCACAGCACGGGCAGCGAGTTGCTTCCTACTTGAAGGAAACTATGTCGAGGACTGACAGCCGATCTGACCAACTATCTGCTTAGGCTTGAAGCGCTTCCCATAGGAGCAGAAGTGACCAAAGGCTTTGGAAGAGTAGTAGTTTCGTGGATGCAATGTGTGACCTATTTGCAGCTAAAAACAGGCACCTGCAGGGTGATTAAGCACTCTGTGGCGAGCGTGAGCAAACCTTTCGCAAGGGGTGAGCTACCGGCGGCCGGAGCTAAGTTCGTTGGCGATGTCGGAGCGATCCTGACAACTCCATACCGATTTGCGCGGCTGGCAACTATCACCAAGGCCGCCTTGCCCTCCGGTCGAGAGAGTCTCGGGGAGTCCAATAGGAGATTTGGACTTTTGCTTCGGGCAAGTTTGAACAGGACTTCGCGATTGAAACTTGACTTGAACTGGCCTCGCACTGGCTCAACCCGTCCTGAACCTTCCCCGGTCATCCGACATGTCCGCTCGTCTCCATGTTCTTTCTGGGGTGATCAAGCATTTGGCTTTGCACCCCTTCCTTTCCTCATTGCTGGATTCCATCTTAAATTCCTGTACAATGCTTCTACGATGGTCTTTCCGGGCCGTACCAATCCTGAACATCCAGAACCCTGCTCTTGCAAGCCCACTCCGAGTAATCATGAACAATTGCCGCTATCCTCAATGCTGA